GAGACAGAGAGAGAGAGAGAGAGAGAGAGAGAGAGAGAGAGAGAGAGAGAGAGAGAGAGAGAGAGACTATTGATTGGGCTGACTTTGATTTTTCCTGGCCTGCCTTCATTGTGACGTCTCGTGGATGCATTATTAAGCGAGCCGCGCTCCCGATCGGCCGCGAGGACTCTCGGGATAGCGACGTGAATGAGAGGCTAAATAAACAGCCGCCGCCCACCGTACGTCCCCGGGAACAAAGCACAACAGACAAATATATGTACACGAACTCGCATAAAATTCTATTCTCTCCGGCCTGACTGAAATCACGGATTATACCACCTGTGGAACTACTACGTCGACACACTACTTACTACACCACCACCACCACCACCACCACCACCACCACCACTATCACCACCTCCGTCGCAACAGCTGGCAGGATTCGACAGAAGGAGGCTAGCTAGTTGTCGTCGGTCTGTTCGTTCGTGTTTTATCGGCAGGAGCTGTTCGACAAACTCCGGAATTTTTCCGAATTTTCCCCCCGTCGTTGGGTTTTTTCGTGGAATTGATTGTTTTCTTGATGCTGGTCCGAGTGGGAAATGCCTGGGTAATACTACGTGCATGACATGCGTGCGTTCGTGCGTGTGTGCGTGCGCGCGTGTGTGTGCGTTTGTTTATGATTCCGTGTGAGGATTGTGGTTACTGGTTAGTACTCTGGGAATACGTGCGTGCGCGCGCGCGTGCGTGTTTGTGTGTGTGTGTGTGTGTGTGTGTGTGTGTGTGTGTGTGCCTGTGTGTGTGTGTGCGTGTGCGTGCGCGTATGCGTGCGCGTATGCGTGCGCGTGCATGCGTGTATCGTGTGGTGTCGGTGTGTGAATTGTGACAATTAATGCGTGATTAATACATATTGTACGTGCGTGTGTTTGCCGTGTCGTCGGTGAGCACTGTAGCAGGCTACTTAGGATTGATTGTTGCCATATGGCAGCTTTGTACGATGACTTGGGCGGTTGGCTAGTGCTCTGGTATAAAGTGGTTTGCTGCTTCTTTCCTTTCAAATACCTGTTGTCCTTTTCTTTGTATGTTACTCTCTTATAACACCTCTGATCTTCGGAACTTATTTCTTATTTGAACTATTTGTGTTTCAAGTGCCGTTAAACTGTATTTAAACTAAACATAAATTGTACTTGTGCCATTTTGCCGACATTCACTTCTATAATATGATGTTGGGTTCGCTTTATTTTTTGTGGAATAAAAATGATATGTAAATGAATAAATAAGTAAATATATAATTTCATATCGAAAACTCTGAAGAACAACAGTAGCTTAGAAAAGAGGACAACAGAACAGAGCAACGTCGGTGGTGTATCAGTTACTCGGATTGGCGTCTCTCACCGAACACGTGAGTTCGATTCCAGTCTGAGGAGGGTTGTTGTTTTTTTTTTTTTATCGAGTACCTCCGTCTGTCTTTCTGGGACGTTGTTTTCCTCTCAGTTGGCCTTGACAGACAGACAGACAGACAGACAGACAGACAGACAGACAGACAGACAGACAGAC